CTCCCTCCCCTCCCCCAGCAGCCGCGTTTCCCGGGGAGGGGGGGACACACACAGGGTCCTCCCTGTGACCGCCAAGGGGGTCCCGAGGGGAGGAAGGCTGCTCTGTTCTGGAGGGGCAAAAGCACAGCTCCACGGCGCTGACTCTCCCTGGCTTTTCCCCCGCTCCCATTTTCACTAACCAAAGGGCCAGCGCTTCAGAGGTGCGGGAGGTGGTGGTGGGGGGGGTGTTCTGCAAAAAAAACCCGTCGGTATTTATTTCCCTCGACATCCTCTCGGGCTCTTTGAAAGGTTCTGGGAGCTGTAGTTTGCGCAAAAGGCTGCCGGGAAGTGTAGTTTTCCCAGCCCGCCGTCCCTGCAATGAGGACGCTGTCATGAAGGGGCTGCACTGCACTACGAGACCCCAGCCCTGCGGCTTGGTATTTCGCCTGTTTCCAGCCCTGGTTCTCGCCTGCAAGCTTGCTCGGGGTCAGGAGGGACAAGGTGCTCCCCGGCAGTCAGCAGGGTCAGCCCGACACTCCCCGGCTTTCCCTCCAGCAGACCCATGACCCCAGGCTCACAGCTCACCCCTGCATCAGTTGCTGCGCTGTTCTTGCTGCAAAACGTGCAGACTGTTGCCTTCTCGCCGACATACGTAGGGTCATTTACGGGAACTGTATCCTGGATCTGCATGAAGTGCTGGCAGGGGGCAGGAATAATTTTTCTTGGTAGCCTGCCCCAGCGAACCCCCCCCCCCAGTGCTGCTCTACCAGCACAGACGATGCCAGAGACCCCCTGTGTCTTTCCCCTGCGCTCCTGCCATCCCCGTTTGTGTCCGGGCAACAGAGAGCTCAGATTTTGTCTTAGCTCTGCGTGGAGCTTCACCTCTGCCCCAGGCACGTATCACCCGCTGAGGCCGATGTGCCGAGCCTGCTGTACCCTGCCTCTGCCACTCGCCCCTGCCAGGCCGAGCCTGGAGCTCAGCAGCTCCCGTCCCACGGGATTCTGTTCAAATGCGCTCCTTGGCACGGACACAACCTGAACGAGCTCTCTCTCCAGCAGCTCTGCTTCTCCCACTCCCACCTAAGCACCGCCATGCTTGCCAGCAGCTCGAGCATATGAGGAATGGAGAGGAAAGGCTGATGTTTCACCTGAATGTGGCCCAAGCCTTCCTTCATCTAAGTAACTTTCTGGCTCTCCCTTGCCAGGGCAATGCAGCACTGCAGAGACACGTGGTGCCGTGCAGACACTTCATTGTTCTTGCACCTAGATCTATGTGTCTTTCAAGGTGGGGGTTTACTGGGGGAAGAGGGTGGATAAAGAGAAACCTTGTGTTTTACTCGTATGTTCCTTTTCTTCTCATCCTTCTCTTTTATTTACAAATAATTCCCTTTTATCTTTACAGGACATGAAGGCAGCATCACCCTTCCCCTAAATCACCCAGGACTTCCTTCACAAAGATGATTTAAGTGTGTACTTTGCTCCTTCTGCGGAGGAGTGCAAAGGGGAGGAGCAAGAAGAGAGGGTAGCATGGAGAAGGCTTCAAGCTTGCTGACCTCCAGCTAATTTAAGCACAGGAACAATTCAGCTGCTGCAGCATGTAAAATCAAATAGCTCTGGATCTCCTTGAAGTTGTACCAGGAGCTGGCCAGCACTAGAGTGACCAGTAACAGCGAGAGGGTGAAAAATTGTTTTTGCTTACCTACATGGAGCAGACTTTGGCCCAAAGTAGTGCCCAGCCCTTGGACCAGTCTCAGCTGAGCAGCGGTCTGCATCAAAGCTGCTCAGACTAATACTGACCTGAGCTGATGCATCACAGAGTGCAACTTAGCTCTGAGCTGTGGGACTGTTGCCCTCCTACTTCCGACTCTGGGTCAAACTATGGCAAATCCCAGAGCTCTGCCCTGCATTCTGGTGTGCAAAGGATGCAGGACCCTGTCTGTGCTGGCCACAGCTCCAGCAGAGAACTAGGGGGAGGACTGTGGCTCTCTGATAGGAATCCAGTAGTTGGGTGGAAGCTTATAGCCCCTTATCTCCCCATCCAAGAAATCTGCCCTGCCTAGTTTTCTTCTCTCTTCTATCAGTGGTTCACTCTGTCTCCCTTTCCTTCTCTCACAGCCCCTCAGCCTCTTGCTGCTTTTCAGGTCCATCTCTTGTTCTCAGCGCCTTCTTCCCCAACCTCCCCCATGCCAATGCTGCTCACGGGTCAGGGATGGTCTCTGTTATGAGCACACCCACTTCCATCAACACCAGCCTCCACCTGTGGCCAGCGCCTCAAGTCTTGCTCAGCCCAGGGCCATGGTATGAAAGATAAGTTGGTAAATCTGAAAAGGTACACTATGAGTAAGGAAAGAGTTCAAAGTACACCACTCCCATGCCCAGAGCCTTCTTTTCTGCAACATACAGCACAAAATTTATTGGAAACTCCCCAGGCCAGGGCATTCCCCGTAGCACACGAAAATCCTCTTTAGGAAGAAGGTCCAGGGTGAGTTACCAACTGAAATGCTATGATGAGTTGGTGGTGTGGGCTAAATATACGCCTGATTTGCACACCCTCACCAGACACAGTTCTGAGATGCAAGTAGCATGCCCTTGTTAAGGTCCATTAGAATCAAGCAGTAGAACAGAGGAGAAATAAATTTAAATAATCCAATGGCTGTTGCTCCTGCCTTGATGATAATTACATATAAAACATGCACTGAAACAGAGAGACAGGAGCAAGAGCTTGCGATGCCACACTGCCCTGCTGAGTGGTTAAATCAGAGGGACAATTGCACAGACAGACTGGGGGCAGGAAAAAACTTGACAGCCACTTGGTGGATAGGTGATGGGGCTGAACAAGAGTTGAAGAAAACTGAGCAGGGGGTAAACTGAGAGTTTCTTGGTTCAACAGCCAGCAGGCCTGCAGTGCAAACGTGCAGAAAGCTACACACGCTGCAGCGCTCCGTACATGTGATGCAGCCCGATGAGTCAGCCGGGTACATGGCGTACGATGCATCGCTGACATTGCAGAGCTGCTCTTAGGGAACTGTTGCATTGTGGAGCAGCAGGAACACGTCTGGGATTAAACCTGCATATTCATTTAGTTAACAAATACAATGTGGCATGAGGCACTGGATAAGAAACCATCTCCTTTCTCTATAGGGAGTAGGGAGGTGAGGACAAGTACTGCTCTGACATGTGCCATTAAGACAACAGTGAACTGAGAAAAGAAAACTCCCTATGCTGGACTTGGGGGTGGGAGGAAGACAGTTAGCTTGTAGCCAGCCGAGCCAGGCACATCAAAGCAGGGAGAGACAGGTCCCATGGCATGTGGGTGAGCTAATTTTTCTTCAGCTCCTTGTGCTCTGTGCGGTCTGTGAGCAGTGTACCTGCATTCAGAATAGTGTGTCAAGTCTGTGTTTGTACAAGCATCACTCTGCTGGAAGAGTGCTGGGAGGAGAGAAAACAGTCACGTAGCACCTAGTTGTGAGCTGGGACCAGGAGAGGTGGACGGAACAAGAAAAGCCTCTGCAGGTAATCGCCATTACCATTGCTCATGCAGTGGCTGTTAGCAGGAAGGGACAGCAGTGCTGTCAGAAGGGCTGCTTTGGGATTTGGGAAAGTTTGCAGGGGAACAAAAGGTTTGCTGGGAAGTGAAGTGTGAAATAGTGCAGTCTGACTGCTAGGCAGCAGTAGGGAAGGAAGAGGAAGGCAGGTGGTGAAGACAACGTGAGGAACAAGGGACTGTGGGATTACTTTTGGAGAACCATTGACCAGACTGTCTTCATGAAGTCCAAAACTGCCTCAGGACAAAAGTATTTCAGACAGTAAAATATACCAATAAACCAATAAAGAGTGTATATGCTAGCCTGGTATTCTCAAATTCATAGAGAGAACTATAAAAGCTCCAGTCTTGAGCCACAGGTCAATGTGATCCTCCTCCTACATCAGCGTTGTTTTTCAGGGTACTTTTTGGCCACCACGAGCCCTGTCCCACCAAAGATGTGCTATTCCCCTTTCCCTGCGGCAAATTCTCCACAGGAGAGTCATGAACATCAGTGATTTGCGTCCATATCCACTCCTCCCCTTCCCAGTTTCCAGTTCCCACCGGGAACCCACCCACCCAGTCAGGGACATAAAGATCTGTAGAACATTTATAGTCCTGGTGCAAGTCCCCTCAGCTGTTCCATATATCCAGTAGCATCTGACATGTCTCAGAATAGGTTTTTGCAGTTTCCAGGCTTTTAAAACATTGTTTCAGTCTCCACAATGGCTTCCAGTGCTTTGCCTGCAGCGTGAGAACTGATCTCAACTAAGATGAGGGAGAATATCAGAAGACACTCTTGGGCAGATTTTTGATATGTGACATAACAGCACATACCCCAGAAAGACAAAATATCTTGTAATGAGGAGGAAGTTCTCCATTTCTTCTCTGTGGGGAAATCAAGGTAAAGCTCATAATCTGGTAAATATTTGTCAAAAGCTGTGAAACTTCAGAACCACTGAAATTTTGTGGTTCAACACCCAGCTGGGAGAAGGGCAGTTGAGTAATGCCAGACTTGGCACACATACCAGAGAGGGGGAAGGGCTCTGCTAGATGCCATCAAGCCACACAGCCAAAATATAGAGCAAGGGAAGAGGGGAACACTTTCACTTCGTTTGCAGTCTCCAGGTGGGGGCCAGGCTGCACCAGACAGCTCCCGGTGACACACAGGACAAAGAAAAGCAGCTCAGTCTCTGTCAGACAAAGCAGAAAGATTCCCACTGATCCCAGGGGCTGCTGGGGTCAGTGCAGAAAAAGAAACACAGTGCTTAAGCTGCATTGCCAAGTGTTCTGGAAGGACAAGAGCAAAAGCCAGCCCCTTGCATCCACTGGAAATTATTAAAGAAGTCTGAAAGAATATGTCAGTTTTCTCTAACAACTTAATTTTCCTGGAGAAACAGAACAGGCACAGCACTCCAGTTCATCTGTGTGTACACAGGGGCCTGGCCACATATTTACAAAATCAGCCTCATGCCCTAGCCACACCCAGGGTGTTAAACCTTAACAAACCACCACATGAAAGACTCTTAGCTTGGCTGATGGCGGGAGAAGCTAGAAATCCTGAACAGAAAAGATGTCACAAGCCAGATCCTTCTATAAGACCCCATACTAGACCATACAGTCTATACAAGTATCTTTAACTTATAGGTCCTTAAAAAGCAGCACCCCTGTTGCTCAGGTCGGGAGGCCCCTCCACAGAGAGTTTAGCACCACTCACTGTTCCCAGAGAGTGCTTATCCTTTTCATGTCAATACCATACTTCAGCTTAAAAAGGTTTTTTTAAGTGCTCTCAGTTGCAGACTGCAATCAAATGTCCTACATGACTAGTTCTTCCCTTTCCCCTGCAGGAAACAGTTGCTAGTAAATTACCCTACTTGGGATAAAGCAAGGTGTTGCTACAAGCCTTTAAAACACAGTGATTACCTGGGTGTGGAAATTCATAAAACATGGGACTAGAAAACCTTTCCCTAGCAGGAAGGAGAATAAAATTAATTACACCATCAATTACATCCAGAACTAAAAGTCTTAACAGTTTGCAGGGCGTGCTGTAACCTGCAAAGGAAGCCTTTTCGGGAAGTCTAAGCCCAAAGAACTAAATAGAAGCTGGCAAATACAAAAGGTCATTATTTCATCCACATCTGTGTCTTGCACTGCCTACTAAACGGTCGCTCGTCTCGGACCCCTGTGCACTCTTTATACTCAGCACTTTTGCTGCAATGCCAGCCCCAAGTCCCTGAAGATCTAGGTTGCTACACTGGCTGTAAGTAGGATATTGAACACTTTCAGTCACTGGAAACGGGTGGAAAGAAGGGCCAGGCTGCATGTGGGTGGGGAGGACAGAGGAAGAAATCCGGACAGTGAAACTCTAGCTCCACAGGAGGTGAGCAGAAACGGAGCTTGTGTGCATGCAAGCCAAGCCCAGGAAGAAGGCAGAGCTGCAGCCAACAGACGACAAAGGAAATGCAAACAATAAACTGTCTCCAACAGGAAAGAATACAGCCCTTGTATTCAGTGGCTAGGAGGGGACCCTGCAAATCGGAGATCATAAGCATCCATAGCATCGCCTAGAAAGAATGACGCCATCATCCTCAGATATCCACTGGTATTTGTTGCTGCAAGACCAAGAGCTGAGGTTTTTTTTTTTTTTTTTTTCTGAGGAGAAAATCCTAGAGAGAGCAAATTGTTGAACATTGTCAGCGATGTCCAGGGGGATTTCACTCTCAGATACAAGACAATGGTCCTAGGGAAAAAATACTTGCCATTATGGGCTATTCCTCTGCAGGTCTCAGCTCCCCTAAGTTTTTTAAGGTCACATGGTAAGCCTCATGGAAAGAATGGAAACACCCATGCAGTCCAATTGTCACCACATGAACTGACGTCCAGTCTTTGAAGAACAGAACTATGACTAACATGGAGCTCTAGGCCAAAAAGCAAATGGATAAGGACTGAAAGGAGGAAGATGGTGACAAGTCCCAAGAGAGAGGCATGCCATTGTCTTTCCTGGCCCAAAGAGCCTGATGAGGGTAAGAGATACAGTTCTACTCATGGACAGAAGGAAACATCTCATTTGAATCTTCAAGACAAAGGGATCCCACAAAAATAGAGCTCCTGGAATCAGCCACGCAACACCCACACAAGCTCCATTCAGCAGAAAGACCTTGAAACACATGTTTATTGACTCTTTTTTAATCCCAGGATCTTTTTTTTTCTTTTTTTTTTCCCCAAGGGGGATTTTGGACCATGGGGGTACAAAACTGGCTAAGTACACATTGCAGTTAAAGTCCAAGTGCAAGAAGAAATCTAAATCAAGCCTCTAACATAAGTGCCAACCTCAAAGCCATATTTGCTCCTTTAACGGGTATGTCTTTCCCCTAACTTTTGCGCTCAAAATGGCCATAAAGTGCATGGATGGCTTCTAGAACAGAGGCAGAGAACAAGATCATGAGGCACAGTTATACAAGTACGACCATCCTGCGAATGAACATGGTAGATCATCCTCAGCCACGAGCTTGGCTTGACCGAATTACTTGCCCATGCTGCCACCAGCACTCTCTCTCTTCCATCTCATACTGTAAAAAGGTCACAGAATCAGAGAACAGCTAAGGTTGGAAGAGACCTCTGGAATTCATCTGGTTCACCCCACTTGCTCAAGCAGGGTCACCTAGAGCTGGCCACCCAGATCATCTTTATGCTCCTAAGCAGCAGTGGTAGGATCAGGAGAAAGTGCCCAAGCACCATCTGCCTGTACTTGTTATCCAACACTTTCACCTCACGACACTTAACCAGGAATGCTTAACCCATCTTGTCCAAATCCTGTTTCAAGGCAAATTATCTGCACAGGAGGGACACAAAGCAACCCATTACACGGTCTTCCCCTTTCCCTCAGAAATAATATTTTCCGGCTGTGCCCTCATGTACCATTCCACCCAGGCCCCGTCATACACGGCGACGTCTGGTTTGCCACAGAGGTATGCCCCCAGAGCCACATGGCAGGCAGTGACCCCAGAGCCACATGTGGCTACCACCGGCTTTGAGAGGTCCACCTTCTTCTCCTGGAACAGACTGCGGATCTGCTCGGGGGTCTTCTCTAAGCCAGACTCTGTGAGGAAATCAGTGAAGGGGATGTTCATCGACCCAGGGACATGACCAGGCTCAGTTCCTGGAGGAAAAGCAATACAGATAGGAATCATCCTCAACCGTTTAGGACAAACGCATTGCAAAACCCATTCTGTGTTTCACTGGGAGACATATTTATTATTTAGCGTACGTTATTAAAACAAATCCTTGTTTTATTGTGTTGTGTTGGACACAATCCTGCCAAGTTCTGTTCCTCCTCCCAGTTCCTTCCACATCTTCCCCGCATCACAGCGACCCACTCTGATGAGGCACCAACTGAAGCACCTCCACAGGTCCTTCTGAGGGGAAGAGTAGCACCAGTACATGAAGAGAACAATGAAGATCTTTGAGGTGTATGAAAGCTACATTCCTCACCCCAGCCCCTCATGAGAAAAAAACCACACGGCTTCCCCACTCCTGAATTTTCACAGAGCACCACTTGCTAGTCAAAAGCAGAGGACAAGTGCACAGATACACTGCCTCAACTCCCATCTCGTAAAGGACAACCGCATTCCCCTTCATTTCCTCTACAGGAGTCAAACTGATGAGCACCTTAAATGAAGACCCTTTTTATCATGCCAGTGTCTCAGAGGGCACATTACCATCTCGGGGCTCTGGCTCTACTCCCCGGAACCGTCCTGCGGCGCGTGCATCCACTAGTTGGAAGCGGTGGGAATCCAAGTTATCTAAGACGTCCTCGTACGTTTTCACCAGGGACTTGTCCAAGGCGGCGTGGAACTCAGAGGGAGCTACCTGGCTTTTCCCAGAGCTCAGCGCATTCCCCTCTCGCTGCCAGTTCTTCAGGCCGCCATCCAGAAGAGAGACGGCTTCATGTCCGAAGGCCCGGAACATCCACCACACTCGGGGTGCCGAGAAGAGACCTTGGTCGCTGCCATCGTACACCACAACATGGGAATCATTCCCCACGCCCAGCTTCCCCACGTACTCGGCAAAGTCGTCAGCCTTCGGCAGCATGTGATCGTAAGGCGAAGTACGGTCGCTGCACTGGTCAATGTCAAAGAAAACTGCACCGGGGATGTGGCGCTCCTCAACCCCCCGCCTCGGGTCACGCTTCATCTTTGGCAAATACCAAGATGCATCCACGATTCTCAAGGCCAGGCCAGCCTGCTGGGACCTGATGGCTTCCGCGAGCCATTTTGCAGACACCAGAGCACGGTAGAGGAGTTGTTGCGACATCGTTCCCGAGTCCTGGCCGAGACCACCCAATTCCTGTGGTCTGCCTGAATCCACCCGGCTGCAGAAGGAAGAAAGCCACACGTTAGGAGAGCGGCCTCACAAAAAGCAACCGGACGAAGATGGATTTGGGGACCAAAGGCCTGTGTCTGCACCGAGGTGCTGGCTAAGCCCACAGCGAGGGGTCGGAAACGCTCTGGCCCTGGGAACAAGGAGTTTCGCAGAGCTCAGCCGAGACCCTGCCCTGAGCCCGGCCCCCC